TAAACCCTCATGAATTTCTGGCTTTATGTTCAAGCCCTTTACAAGGTGACATTCACTTGGAACTGTACCTGCTTTTCTTCTCTGATTGCTGCATGTGAAACAACCAATTCCTTTCCATTTTCAGTAAGATGATGCTTCCTGCTCTTCTGTGTAATCAGCCTCAGAAAAGGGGGTATTCTGTACAAAGAAAAGCTGCCTATCATAAACCCTGAGCCATTTTGTAACGTCTTGTTCCAGCTGATTGTGACTTAAATTTGCTTCTCAGTGTCATCTTTGGAAAAGACTCTTTGTCTTTGTAAGCTGGGCCAGAACGAGCCCCGATGAGCTGTTTGCTGTGCGATTGACATCCTCGGAACACACCCGACTGCAGCGGGAACCGATGCAGAACGTACAGCTCGTTACGGTGCTGCCAAAAGGGTTTTACCACCTCCTGCTGCAAAGTGAGGTGGGAACCAACGACTCTGTGCTCTGGGCTTAACAAAGCAGCTTTCCAGATCCAAAGGACCTGCTTGAAGATGTGCAGAGACCAAGCCTGAGGCACAGGAGTGCCCTAAGGCAAGGGAATAACTCTGCTGTTCATCTTCTTTAATTATCTTTGGTGCTCAAATCACTTTAGGGACTAACAGTGGCAGATATTCACCTCAGCAAATTTGGGGATGTCAGAATTATTTTGGCCAGTGGGAGTCCTTCATTACCAAGGTACATGGTCCCAGTCCTACAGTAATGCTTTACCCAGATTATTATTCCTTCACTATGCCTAAACTTCAGAGAAAAACGTATTCTTCTTTGCTTATGTGATCCTATAACTAATGTGTTGGTAATTGCTCACTGAGCTAAGAATAGCATCTCACAAGTCACACTTATTGTGGGTCTATGGATGATGCTTTCAAAGCCCCATGTGTTCCCGCAGTGTGCAGAAGCCTTCAGGCTCAACACTCCTATCCCAGCAGTAAATCAGAGGTACTCTCACAATACTTGGTCATGAATACCTGAGCCTGCTTCCAGAAGCATCCTGATAATGTAGTTACTATCAGGAGGCTCATTAAGGGTCAGGTGAAGAAAAATCTTTGTCCAGAAACTTCTGGGAGTTTCCTGGTGTTGCTGGCTGTGTGTTGGAGGTGATGTGTTTACTGAAGGCTTCAGTGCATGACTGCCAGCTTTTTTTTATTACTTGAAATCTAGCCTGCTTAAGATAGATAACACTTCTGTTGTGATTTATTGCATGTGGCACAAATCCTGTTCTGTTGCACATATCAAATTCTGTTGATGTCCCTGGCAGCGAAGACAGTTTGGCTCTTGTTATAATTTAAAACTCTGAGGCAAATGGCAAGAATTTCTAGAAGATGAGATTTCTAGGTGAGAGTTCTGAGGTGGGAGATTGCGTGGTCAGCTTCTAGTAACTACCAGAGCAAGGTCAACACCATCAGAATAGGTTACTGCAAATGGTAGTACCTCTGTGGTTTTTCAAGTTGCAAATATAAACTACTGCAAGGATGCTTTGATTTCTGTGGCAGTGTGATTTTTATAAATCCCACGCATGCTTGAAGTAAGAAATATTTGCATTGGTTCAAACGTGCCATAATGTTCCTACAAGGCTATGTGGGACATACTGCCTTGCGTAGGTGAGGTCTTGGAGCCAGCACAGAACTGGGATGTGAGCAAGCAGCAGCCAGCCCTGAGTTTCCTGCTGCAACTCAACATGCTTCTCTGAGCGCAGAACTTACAATGTTTTAGTACAACATCATGCAGTTGTTTTCCTGCCACGCTCTTTTTCCTTTCTCTAAGTACAGTTTTGCTGCACCTACTCATTAAATGCCAAATAGCACGTAGGGAAATATTTCCATGTGGGCAATTTGCTTTTAGGATTACTGTTTTATTTTTGGGTAACTGTCCTGTTGGTTCCATAAAGGAAGATGCAGGAGCCTGAGCCTGTCTGATGCTCAGTTTTTCCACAAATAGCAAATGATGGCTTCCTTGGTATCTCACCTAACACAAAAATGTCAATGTTTATAGGCGTTTTCAGTATGTCATGGGCTACAAACAGCATTTCTGTTCAAGGGATCATGATTTTCTTCCATGAAGAAATCAAAGGATTGCTTTGTTCTTGTTGTGAAGTAGCAGATATGGGCAGCAACTAAAAATAATGCTAGAACAAGTAAACACAGGTAGTGCTTGTATATCTTTTATGGGCATTCATCCAAACCAAACTCTTTCAGGTTCAGCCTGAAAAAACAGGTTGGAGCAGTTGAAAGCAGACCCAGAGATGCTACTTGGGGACTGGATGAGGTAATAAGCACAGTGAGCAACTTCTCTGCATCCGTCCTTCCCTCAGAGACCTTCTCAGCTCTTTGGGAACCACTGCAAAATTTCAGATTAGCCTCTGTAGGGGATGAATGTAAATATTAACATGCCTGGAATAACACAAGCCAAACTTTTAATTCCCACTGGGTCAGTTCTTGCTATATTTTCCCTGGCTAATGTCCCAATGTATCCAATACTAATTTGGTTTCAGTAAGAATAATTAGGTAATAAAAGCTGGACGTTGTGATTATATCACTGGTCTGTAAACTTTGGGCTTTATTCTGTTCTCAACCTTGTAAAAGATTTTCTGCAAGATAAGTTATTTCAGCTTCAGTGTTGTGCTTCATTGGTGTAAAATGAAGGTGCCGTATGCCCCACATCTACACTCTCTGGTGACCAAATCAGTAAGTGGAAGAAAGGCTTTCAGGAACCACTGTTATTCCATGTGCAAATATACTCAGCAGCTTTTAGTCCTATGGTGCTGCAGACTTGGCAGGAAGCTCACCTAGCTGGTGAAAAGTACCCATGGCCACACCTTTGTGTGAGTACGTGGAGAGGGTACAATGGAATGAGTTCATAAGGTCTTATTTCTGATCTGGCTAACAAGCTGGGACAGTCCTTCCTTCCCAGTCAACAGAAAGCCGCTGGAAGATCAATGAGGTTGTAGATAGAGAATGAATAACAGCTTACCCCACGCAGGGTAAGCCATGATGTCTTAGCTCAAATTCCCTGCTGCATTTCACTGTTATTTATGGCTTCACTTATTTATTAGAGATTATTGGTCAATGGTTGCTCCAAACCTATGCTGGTAAGGTTTTTGGCTCTGTCTACCTACATTTGCAGTTAAAGTCCGTCCTACAGCACAGCAGGAACATCATTTTGCAAAACCCTTATTCAGACAAAATGTTGTTTATGACCAGACTTTGTATAATGAGGTCAGATAGACCTTTCTGTTGGCAGAGGTATTTTTATTTCTTGCCTAGAGCAGAGGCGAGGGAGGAAGAGAAGCAAAGGAGCACCAAGACAAGAATTTGTAAGTGCATTTAATCAGTCATATAAATCGCACGTGAATCAAACTCATCTAGTCCTGGCCTTTTAGCTTGAAAATAGGTAAAATATTGAATCGCTGGAGTCAGAAAAGAGCAACGGGAAGTCAAGCCAAATCCTCTGTCAGCAAGCATGTCTCCAAATACAGAATTAGTTTAATTGTCTGTCCTTGTTAGGCCTGTATTCTAGGATTTAAAAATAGCTGCCAGCAGTCTCTAATCAAGACTTGAAAAATATATTCTGCCAGGGATCCTGCAACTCTGTGCCTGATGGTGCTCACGATGGGACAGGTTTATGAACCTTCCCAAATGCCTTTTGGACAGCTTGGAAGCCACCAGTCTTTGTGTCGTAAAAGTGAATGCAAGTCATGGTACATGACAGAACACAAAGTTAGTCCAAAGGAGTTCTGTTTACCCTTTTTCTAGAATCATTAAGGTTGGAAGAGATCTCCAAGATCATCAAGTCCAATCACCAACCCACCCCCACCATGCCCACTGCCCATATCCCTCAATGCCACATCTCCATGGTTACTGAGCACCTCCAGGGATGGTGACCTCACCACGTCCCCAGGCAGCCCATTCCAGTCCACCGCTACTCTTTCAGAGAAGAATATTTCTTCTAATACTGTGTTTACACATACTATTATTTTTCAATGCTTTCTCTGTTTATGCTATATTTAGGCTTTAAAATATATATATATATATATGTATTTCCAACTTTTTAATAAATAATTAATGCCAGTACTTAGAGATTATATATTTGGGCTAAATCTTAATTGAACATAAATTTGCGTCATGCTGCTGATTTTGGTGAGACTCAGAAGAATGGGTACCCAAATCAGAGTTCTGCTGTTTAAAAGCAGCTGATGAAATGGCCCAAGAAGAATAGAAATGTGGTTGGATGTATTTACAATGCCTTCTGAAATGAAATAAGAAAAAAATTACTGAGGAAACTTCTGGAGGGAGGAAAATACTGCATTATCTCTGCGTATTGTATTGTCTTCAGAAATAACTCGGAAGCAAGAGTTGACTCAGTTTGGAAAATGAAGAACGTAATGAAATACCCATGAAAGGTCAGAAAACTGGATGGTTACAGCGATGGCTATAAATAGATTAACATAAGCTGAGTAGGGGATTTGAGTGAAATATCCAAAAGTTGAACTGGGTACATCACCAATTACGTTGGGAGATGGTCTTGCCTGAAAATATTGAGGATTTTTAATACAAAAGAGGCATTACGGAGTGATCCCAAATTTGCTTACCATTACCACATCTTTCTTCTTATGCTGCCTTGCTTATAACTTCTCCTCGTGCACTGCAGGCAGATAGTAAACGCCCCAAGTACTGTACCTTGCAGCTTGATTAAAGAAAATGAAGATAGCGAAGCAGAGGGGAAAGAAAGAAATCTGTGTGGTTAGAGGAAAGCTATTATAACGTGGAAAGTGCTCTCTGGAAGAGAAAAATTTACCTCTGTGAAATAAACTCAAGTGAAATGGTCAGAACCACATTGGACTGGACAGGTTCTTCTCGTAGATCAGTCATGGAACTCATCATCAGTTAGTATCAAAGTAATGGAAAGTGATAGCTGGGGCTGTGTTGTCATCTTTTGCTCAAACTGAAGTTAAACTTCTTTCTATTTTTCTTTTGCCTCAGATATTGTCGTGTTTCAGATCTACATCACCAACTGTACGGTCATTTTGGCAACTGTCTCAATTGAACTCTCTAGCGTCTTTACCTGTGAACACACAGTCCCACTGGAAATAGGTAAGAGAGACACTCATGAACAACCATTGAATAGGAAAAAGTAACTGTCCCACTCACACGATCATTAGTTACTACTAAAAAATATTTATGGCACTGTAAAGTCTCATGTCTCTCCCTTGGCTTGAAAAGTTCTGGTATTTCTTATTCTCTATTGTTCCATACTATTTATAACTTCTAGCTGCCCAGGTCATACTCCCTGTAGTTCCCCTGCCAGGTTAGAAGAATGTTTTTGTCCTTTTCTGTCTAAAATTACTCCAGCATGCTTTATCTTCTGTTTCCTCTAATTATTTTTCCCCAATTCATTGTTCCTGATATTGTTCCTAAACCGAATATATTGATTTCCTGTCTCTCCTCCTGGCTTTTGTTTATTAAGATGATAAATGCTTTAAGATAGAGCCTGTTCTTTGTTATACATATTGAATCTCTCTTACAAGAAAATCACCATCCCAAATTTAAGAGGTGAATCACAAATAAGTTTAGAAAAGACACAGCGCATCTTTAATTTCTTTTCCTTTATTAGATTTTTGTGCCGCTGGTTATGAAGGATTATTGACTTGTCAGGAATTGACAGTTTGCATTTACATGCCTGAAATATCTTCTATTAAATATCAGTCAGTCAAATTGCTTCTAAAATGATCTTCTGTAATTAAGAAATAAAAATAGTAATCACTTTAAATTTTCTTTAGCTCGTTAACGTGATACATGCAAAATATAAAAGTTTTATGTCCTTACGTATGCTACTTCTGAAGGTTTCATGACCTGGTGTTAAATGATCCAGAGCTGAGATGGACCCACAAGAGTGGAGAGAGTGGAAATGGAAAGGAATGCTGACCAGAGCATCCTCATTTGACCTCACCAGATGGTCACTTCCTCAGGAACACCCCGAGGTAGTCCCCAGAGCATCCCACAGGAGGCAGGTGATGGGGCATCTGCATGGCACCGCTGAGGTCACAGGATGTGTCCCAGCCAGTGGAAACATATGGTAACCCAGCCCATCTGTCAGTCTAGCGTTGACTTCAGCGGAATTTTGCTCCAGCAGAGCTTTACTCCAGTCATGGTACTCTGTTCGGAAAAATAAACATGAATGTATTCTCATATCCTGAATGCAAGTTAATCAAATTGGGTAAGGCAAGAGAAAGCAAATATAAGTAATGCTATAGACCAGGATGCCAGCTGATCTTGTGGTTTGATAGGTGATTCCTCGTTGTTTGCTCTGCTAAGAGGAAAACTTGTGCATTTCTTTGTAACATTTGTGAATGGATTTGTGTGTTTGTCTTTGCACTACTGTGGCAGAGCACCATAAATGCGATAAGGAGTGACTCATGCATGCACCCTGTTAGCAACATGAGCATGCTGAGTGACGTGCAGCCGCTCCCACAGAGAGCGATGCACACAGTCAGAGGAAGATGCATTCTGTGTGCAGTATGTAAAGATATTTGCAGGGAGTCGAGGATGTTTACGCAGCCATAAAGGGAGCAGGTGTGAGCAGAACACTGAATGGAGCCCAGCATCCTGTTTTTTCTTAGGAAGTCTCTTTTTTTTTCTTTTTATTTTCATGGGACATCACTGTCTTTCTGTTTGCATCTCTGGGCAAGATAGGGATCAATAGTAAAAATAGTTTAATTATCAAAGCTTTTTGAGCAGTCAGGTGCTGGAGCAGGCCGCCAAGGGAGGTGGTTGAGTCACAGTCCTTGGAGGTGTTCAAGAAATGAACAAATGATGTGGTACCAAAGAACGTGGCTTAATGGGGAAATGTTGGTGGTAGTGGGACAGTTGGACTAGGTAATCTTGGAGGTCTTTTCCAACCTTGGTTGTTCTACGATTCTCTTCCAGAGCATGCTGTGCATGGGGGTGGCTGGAAGGCTTTGCTCAGATGGAGCTGTGAGGTCAGCTCCCAGGAGGGAGGACTGCTTTATCTCAGTGCGATAGAAGACATTTCCATCTGCTCAGTTGGAGCAGAATCCCTTTCTGTTTCTGACAGTACTTGGCACAGCGTTGATACCAGAATCATAGTTTTCCATTGTTGTTTTGACTCTCAGAAAACTTCTTTTATGGACAAGAATTTGATAGCTGCACATCTTTTTTTTTAATGTAACTGGTGTTCTGCCACGTTGGCTTTTCTGCTGCATTTTCATTAATGCATTGCAAGGCTTTGACTGTGCATGGAGGACTTGACACCTTTCCAAGGCCATGCTGGGTGGCACTGAGGTGATGGCTTGGCACTGGATCTGCGTGCTGAAGAGTAATTTTGGTGCTTTCCTCATCCTAATGAAGGATGGAAACCTTGTTTGCCTCTTTCAGGTTGGTGAAAGCCGTCATAGACTCCTAGGGATTGGAGAGAATTTTTCCATTTTGTATTTAATGACAAGCAATAAATATTCCATGAAGCCCTACTGAGGCTGTTGTAACGGCAGCACAGAGACTACAGTGTGTTTGCGTAGCTCTGCTAGCAGTATTATTAATGATGCAAAAGATAGAATACAACCACATTCCCTCTTTAGCCCAAGGGGGCTGGATTTATCAGGGAACAGGTACTGGCGAACTTGCAATAGCTGCCTGCTGCAGCAGGGGATGGGGAGCCCCAGGGCAATTCCCTTAAAATAATAATAATAATTAAAAAATAACAAAGCCCCACCAACTGAACACCCTGTTCATATGTGATTTTTCTAATTTTAGGCATATGCTATTATTTTGTTGGGGCATGATGAGCCTGTAGCTTTTTTCTTTCCTGAACAATGACAATAACAAAGTATTGCTAAAAATAAAATACCCAACTTTATATACATTGAGAAGGTATTTAAGTTATATTCGTGAAATGTAACCCCTGCATGAACTTGGGAATGTCTGCTGCTAGAAGTTCAAGCCAATGCCTTTTTATAGCAGCGTTCTGACAAGGATTATTTATGTATTTCACTGTATGCACTGTATAGAAAACTCTGGAGGCAGTGTTATTTTTAGCTATGTGACCTTCAAGTATATTCATCTATATACCAGTAAATTAGTTTTTAACAGGTGAATGACTTAATATAGCTAGGCAGATGAGTTGCAGATGTGGATAACATCTGTCTAAGCTGCTTTTTTCCAGGCTTTAGATTACTCATCTGGGATGGTTAGAAGCCAGCTATGGGGATTATTGATAAAAATGAGTTAAGAATAGATTAGAACATTTCCCTTGTGAGGTATAATGTTTCTCTGATGACTGCATTTTCCATCTTCCATTAAACATCACAAGTCAGAATTTTTTAAACTCATTTTAAACTATTCATGTTCTATTTAAATTGTATTATTAAAAATGTTCAAGTTTCCTGACACAGAGTGAAGGGTGTTCTTTTAAGAGAAAGCAAAAAGAAGAACAGTTCAGCTTTAGCTTAGGGTCTTACTGCATTGTGGAGAAGGAAATTTTGTTCTGCTGCGCTGAGTTGTTGCCTGCTCTGAGCCACACACATGGCCAAGATGGGCACTAATTAATTTTAGTCATTGGTGCAAATGTGATCCTCCTCTAAGCATCCAGACTTTTAGTGCAGTCGTGGTTTTGTGTAGTTCCAATGCTTTGGTGTCTCTTTTTGTTATTGCTTTTTATTTCCAATAAGTCTTCTCAGTATTCTGTATTTTAAAAGTCTTTGGCACATGCAGAAAGATGAAGAGATGGAGTTCAGCGTGAGGAAGTTATTTGAAATGCGATAGCTCTAAAGCTTAAAATAAATGAGTATTTGAAGTCTGTTCAAAGATGTAATAAATGTGAAATGACTCTGTCCCTGTGAGAGTCATAGGGACTCTGCTTGGCTGGATAGAGGATTCAGCTGGGCTCTTACCTGCCATACAGAGGTTATTACTCAAATCAGGAAAACAGGAAGAAAAAAAAGAGAGAAAAATACAGGGAGGGAGAAAGGTAGGAGAAAGGAATGCTTCACTGTTGAGGAAAGAGGAAAAAATATATAGGATAACATAATGTATAGAAAAAAAATGCATAGCAAAACTATTTTCCCCCAAAACCTGAAGTTATGGAGCAGAAGATGGACTGCTTGAGTCCTTTGTCACACTCCCTTGCGTTGTAGCAAATAGCTGTAAGGAACGAAAGGTAAAGAAACAAAACACTGAAACCTGCAATGTTTTGCAGCACAGGGTGTGGTGAAAGGATGGCAGTGGGTAAATGTGAGAAGTACTGGGGCTGAGGATTCAGCTCTGAACTCTGACCTTGTCCTTTTCTGGCATCATCTCCAGACCTTTTTGTCTGGTGTGTTAGGGATATAATTCCTCTCATAATACTGCCAGTTAATTTATTAATTTCCACAAATGTTTTTTTATCAATTGTAAATGTTTTCTGTTATGTACTACATTTTCATGCTATTTTTAACTCTAAGATGACTGTAAAACAAACCCTGTTTCATCAGCTGTGTTGGTAATACAAGAGGAAGCACTGTCCTAAGCCTTCTCTTTCCTGGCAGCCTCTCCCCGCTTCTGATCTTTTTCCAGATCTAATATTCTGAGCTATGGGATGTGATGGGTAATTGGATAATGTGAGCCAAGTACATTTGTTTTCACATGGAGGTTATCTGAGGTGCAGGTTTCACATGTGAAGATACTGTATTTAAAATGTGCAGCTTTATTTCCATCTCTCCTGGGGATTGGAACCAGATGATCTCTAAGGTCCCTTCCAACCCAAGCAGTTCTGTGACTCCATGGCTCTGCCTTTGAGCTCGGGGCAGCTGGGTCAGCTGGATGGACCGTATAGTGTGAGCTGTGATGCAGCCTCTCAGGGAAACATCAACCTCTGCACTTGTTAGTCCAATGGTCCTCTGCTAGAAAAGGAGATTTGGCAAGGAACGCATGGAATCAGTGCAGGAAATGTAAACTGAGAGAGAAAGCAATTTAACCCAGGTAATATACAGGCAATGAAAGTGGTGTTAGCAAAAGCACAATGACCACAGAAAGAGAAGGAAGTTGCAAGCAGAGGATAGCTCCGCTGCGGTTCTGAACTGCTCTATTACTCTTTTTTTTTTTTTTAATTGTTGGTGTGCTAATTTATGATATGCTTTATAACACTTGACTTATGCAGGTTTTTAAGATTTCTCTTGTTATTCCACCAAACCTCCTTTCTTCTCATCTGCCCTTATTATTCTTTAAGTTCCAGCCAATGGGTGTCTTAACTGCCAGGATAAAGCGGTAGAGGCATTTAGTGACATTTTCTGAGGCAGTCTTCCAGTAACATCCCAAAACACAGGGCTAACTTGCATCTGTCTGTGCTTGTTCTGTTAGCGGTGGGTCTGTATGGAAATAGTTGGGCAAAATCACCATTTTGGTGAAAATGTACAGATTAGAATGTATGTGAGAAGGAATTCAGCCTGTGGAGCATGCCCAGCGTGGCATAATGGGGACTATTTCCCCCACTGCCCACGCCTCTGTCATTTCCTTCCTACCACATACGAAAAGCATCATCTTCCTGAACTTTGCACGGTTTGTTCTTCAAGCATTTCAGCCTTCCTCATGCAAATTATGCAAATACCAGTGTGAGCTCTGGTTCTGTTTGTGCCATTGTCAAATTTTTGGGACCAAAATAAGTCTTTACTCAAACAAACAAACAAACAAACAACAACAAGAAGCCT